TGATTTCCTTCTGTCTTATCTTGCTCTGGTCAGACAGCCTGTTATTGTCCAATCTGGCTGAGTTGCTTCATGCACGCTTGTGTATATATCATTTAATTATTTTTTTTTTAGTAAGGCTAACACTAGTTTCACCTGGATGGTATGTACCATTTGCTATGGAAAAATCCTGGAGTTAAAGCAAGATTCATGACTAGGGGATTAGGGTGTTTCTCATAGTTTAGCTTAATGTCATGTGAAATATTTATGGTATTCCATCTCTGTACCATCAGTGTAACCTTTAAACTTGGTGTACCATATTACATAATAAAATGTACCCATTTGCGTAATTAAAAACGATGGAATGGTTGGAGAAGTGGAATATGCAATTTTTTTGATCAACTATATTTTAGAAAAATTAAAATGTGCAATAATTAATCATTAGTAAGAGTTTAGTGCAGAAAATAGTGTGTGAGTGAATATAAGAACTATGGCTCTTTTGAGGGGTATGATGGTTGTGTAGTGCGTGTTATTTTTTCTGATTCCCATACCGAAAAAAAAGATTGTCTATACTGTACACTCATTTTTTTTTTTTTTTTTTTTAATTTTGAATTTTGACTAGAAGCTTACAGCCGCACGAATGAGTGTTGTTACCTTGTTAATATCTGCAGGAAAATAGTTTCTTCACTAATATAGTATATTGTTAAACCCCTTTTACTTTGTTCCTCGTGCAATTTCCACTTGATTGCACTGAAGTTTTCATTCGTTTTTAGGTGTAAAGTTAAGAATGATAGCGAAGCCCTCCGTCAAACATGATCTTTGTAAACGATTGAGTTCAGAAAAAAAACCATACCACGGGCGGTGATAGAACCCGCGATCAGTCCAAAAAAACCGTCTGATCGCGGGTTCTAATCCCCGCCCGTGGTATAGTTTGTTCGCAATAGTGTCATTACGATTTCGTGAATCAGACTGAGCTCAGGATCTCTTTTTTGGAGGGTGGATAGTCATAAAACTCAACAAGCTTGCTCTATGCAGTAACTTTACAAGATATATATATATATATATATATATATATATATATATATATATATATATATATATATATATATATATATATAAATTATATTTATATAATATATATATATATATATATATATATAAATTAATATATATATATATATATATATATATATATATATATAATATATATATATATATATATATATATATATATGCAAAACAACCACTCTGAAAAAATAGAGAAATTCCAAGCGCTTTCGTGACTACTCACATTATCAAGGAACATAGTTCCTTGATAATGTGAGTAGTCACGAAAGCGCTTGGAATTTCTCTATTTTGTCAGAGTGGTTGTTTTGCATATTCTGAAATCACCTGTTTTACTGTGATCTTATTGCATATATATATATATATAAAAATATATATATATATATGAATATATATATATAAATATATATATATATATAAATATATATATATATATTATATAAATATATATATATATATATATAATATATATTATATATATTATATATATATATATATATATATATATATATATATATAATATATATATATATATGTGTGTGTATGTATGTATATTAAACAAGTCGGCCGTCTCCCACCGAAGCAGGGTGACCCAAAAAGAAAGAAAATCCCCCAAAAGAAAATACTTTCATCATTCAACACTTTCACCTCACTCACACATAATCGATGTTTTTGCAGAGGTGCTCAGAATACAACAGTTTAGAAGCATATACGTATGAACATACACAACATATCCCTCCAAACTGCCAATATCCCAAACCCCTCCTTTAAAGTACAGGCATTGTACTTCCCATTTCCAGGACTCAAGTCCGGCTATATAAAAATAACCGGTTTCCCTGAATCCCTTCACTAAATATTACCCTGCTCACACTCCAACAGCTCGTCAGGTCCCAAATACCATTCGTCTCTACTCATATCTAACACGCTGATGCACGCTTGCTGGAAGTCCAAGCTCCTCGCCCACAAAACCTCCTTTACCCCCTCCCTCTAACCTTTACGAGGACGACCCCTACCCCTCCTTCCTTCCCCTACAGATTTATACGCTCTCCATGACATTCTACTTTGATCCATTGTCTCTAAATGACCAAACCACCTCAACAAACCCTCTTCAGCCCTCTAATACTTTTATTAACTCCACACCTTCTCCTAATTTCCACACTCTGAATTTTCTGCATAATTACACCACACATTGCCCTTAGACAGGACATCTCCACTGCCTCCAACCGTCTCCTCACTGCAGCATTTACAACCCAAGCTTCACACCTATATAAGAGAGTGTTGGTACCACTATACTTTCATACATTCCCTTCTTTGCCTCCATAGATAACGTTTTTTGACTCCACATATATCTCAGTGCACCACTCACCTTTCTTCCTTCATCAGTTCTATGATTGACCTCATCCTTCATAAATCCATCCACTGACACGTCAATTCCCAAATATCTGAAAACATTCACTTCCTCCATACTCTTCCTCTCCAATTTGATATCCAATTTTTCTTTAAATCATTTGATGCCCTCATCACCTTACTCTTTTCTATCTTCACTTTCAACTTTCTATCTTTACACACGCTCCCAAACTCGTCCACTAACCTTTGCAATTTTTCTTTAGAATCTTCCATAAGCACAGTATCATCAGCAAAAAGTAACTGTGTCAATTCCCATTTTGTATTTGATTGCCCATAATTTAATCCCACCCCTCTCCCGAACACCCTAGCATTTACTTCTTTTACAACCCCATCTATAAATATATTAAACAACCATGGTGACATTACTCATCCCTGTCTAAGACCTACTTTTACCGGGAAGTAGTCTCCCTCTCTTCTACACACCCTAACCTGAGCCTCACTACCCTCATAAAAACACTTTACAGCATTTAGTAACTTACTACCTATTCCATATACTTGCAACATCTGCCACATTGCTCCCCTATCCACTCTATCATATGCCTTTTCTAAATCCATAAATGCAATGAGAACTTCCCTACCTTTATGTAAATACTGCTCACATATATGCTTCAATGTAAACACTTGATCTACACATCTTCTATCCACTTTAAAACCTCCTTGCTCCTCTGCAATTCTATATTCTGTCTTACCTCTAATTCTTTCAATAATAGCCCTACCGTACACTTTTTCTGGTATACTCTTTAAATTTAAATTCCCCATAACTTTTACAATCTCCTTTTTTTCCCCTTCCCCTTTTTTAAAAGGAAATATTTAAAGACCCCTGCCCAA